ATTGGTGTCAGCCACATCCGAGTGTTCAGCGACTCCCAGCTCATCGTCGGACAAATCATGGGAGAATTCGATGCCAAGGAGGACACAATGCGGGCTTACAAGGACATTGCACTTCCCCTTGTTCGCCTCTACAATACCTTCTACATCAAGCACATTCCTCGGGCGACATCATGAGCGGATCAAGAATCTAACCTTAGAACACGGATCTAACGGTTCGATCTCTAGGAATCAAGCTTGAAGATTTACTTTCTCACTCTAAAACTCCTTCTTCCTCCTAGAGTTTCTCTCTCTACAAGGCAAGGTTATGATACCAAATGATAGTTTTCTTTACCCGGTTCTGGGGTTAACCCTCTGCTGAGACACGTGGCGGCGACTGGTTGGGTTTCCCTGAAAAGGTGGCTGACAGACCAGACAAAGCATGGTGGAAGGGTGTTCAACAAGTAAAGCGGTATGGGCTCTCTGACGAGGCAAAGACATCGGCTAACAACAAGGTGTATCTAACAAGCTACACGGAATGGCACTCCGGCAAGGGGTGACATCGGCTAACAAAAGGACTTCGGCAACTAAGGTGACAATGACCCCGGCCAGGAAGGACAACACTTGACTAAGCTGTGCCACATCTTGGCCTAGATGCGCCACACCTCGGTCTAGGTCATACCACTTCAGGACGAGATCACTTAGGTGCAAGGTAACATCTCGGCTAATGTGTCAAGGCGAGGACGGAGGTCAACAAGGGGTTCCAAGATACTTCTAGACTGAGGATGACCTCGGCTTGGAATGATCTAGGCGTAACGTAACCTAGGCTTGGAATAACATCGGCTAGCATAACTCAGGCAAGGCGTGTCCTAAGTTTCACATCAAGGAAGGAACAAGACAAGCACACTACACTTAGACAAATCACAAGGCTTCAAAACAAGGCATGGATCACACTCGCTTAAGCGAAACAAGTCACAAACATACACATGCAAACTTAATAAGCCATAATCATACAGATGCTCATGAACATGACGAAGACATAAAATGTGGGTTCCTACAGTTGGTAACAATCCAACTGTTGGTGAGGGCAGTGTCTCTGCAAGGGGTAAAAGGCCGATGGGTTGGAAATCTTCAAAAGAATTATTTCGAAGAAATCAAGTGGTTGAAGCTGAAGTCCAAAAAATGAGCATACAATTGGAGACATTTAACCAACACCTTGCTGAGAAGGAAAAGAAAAAAGATAAAAGAGAAGAAAAAAGGATTCAAGCACTGCAGGAAATGAAAGAACTTGAGATCAGAAAAGAAGAACATGAGATAATGACTACGGACATTTCTCTTTTGGACCCTCAGACAAAAGCATATTACACAATGCGAAAAAAATGAGATTTTCGCCAAGTGGTCCTCAAATGTCAGCAGCCCAAATTACTATTTCCCCATGCCTCCTGATGAATAATTACGCGATAATTGGTGATTGTTTGTTTTTTAATTTAGTAATGTCATTTACTTTTTAATTTTTAATTTGGATGGTTGTTGGTGGTTGGTTGTTGGTGGGTAATTGGTGATTGTTTATTTTTTGTGTAGTTAAAAAAATTTATTAAATATGTAGTGATATGTTTTTTGGTGGGGTGAGTTAATCAAACAAATTTTTTTTTCCAATTTTTCATTTTTTTTTAATTTTTTATATTTGTCTAGTTGGGAATAATATAAATATATAATTTTTGTAACAAACAGGTAAAAAAATGTCACAAAAGATAAAAAATAAACAAAAATAAAATCACAAAAAACCTATATCCAAACAACACCTACAAACTTGGAGGAAAGTTGGTTGAGATTTGCCAAAAATAGCAAATGACCATTGGAGCATCATTGCTATAATTTGGCAAAATAATGCTATTCATTGCCAAATTATAGCAATAGCAATAGCAAAATAGCAACAACCATTGGAGATGCTCTAATGGTCATTTGCTATTTTGGCAAATCTCAACCAAGTTTTCCCTCCAAGTTTGTAGGTGTTGTTTGGATATAGATTTTTTTGTGATTTTATTTTTGTTTATTTTTTGTGTTTTGTGACATTTTTTTTACCTGTTTGTAAAAAAAATTATATATTTATATTATTTCCAACTAGACAAATATAAAAAAATGAAAAATTAGAATATATATATATATATAATTCACCCCACCAAAAAATATATCACTACATATTTAATAAATTTTTTTATCTACACATAAAAAATAAACAATCACCAATCACCCACCAACAATCATCCATGAGTCACCCATCATTCATTCACCAACAACCAACCACCAACAACCATCCATTATTAACGCAACATTCATTCACCAACAACTACTCACCCAACAATCATCCATTATTCATCCACCCACCCAACAACCACCCATTATTCATCCGCCCATCCGACAACCATCCATTGTTCATCCACCTACCCAACAACCATCCATCATTCACCGCCCACAATTTTTTCCATAAATATAACACAAGCTTTTCTACAATTTTCATATTCACCTACCCATCATTTTCATATCTTCTAAACTCTCTGTACCCACCCAGTAGATTTTCTACGATTTTCATATTCACCCACTCACTCATCTACCTACAATGAACAATTTGACTAAGTCATATTCAATGGAGATTTTGATGAATCTTCATCATCTGATGATGATATCATCATAATGGCTAAGGGTGGAGGCTTCGCCCTGGGAAGCTGGGGAGTTTGTGGTTAGGTGGCTAAGGGTGGAGATTTCGCCAAGGTGAACACGAACATAGCTGATAGCAGGTTAATGAAGTCCTAAGAATACATGTACTAACTAAATAGAATTGAGAAGGTAAGTGCAGCAGCAAGGTTTGCCACTGCAAGTGCATTTGCTGAGGTTCAGGCTAACAGGGCAAGTGCAACGGCAAACACTCCCGCCGCAACTGCACTTTGCTGAGGTTCAAAAGGGAGTTGCAGCGCCAAACACTCCCGTCGCAACTACACTTGCTGAGGCTCAAAAAGGTAGCAGTAGAGGCAAACAAATAGTACACGGTGCAAGCACAGGAACATGTGGCACCTTCAGCCTGGTAGGTCAAAGTAGAATATTCTATGTGATCCTTAGGGACACCTGTCTTCTCTCTATTTGGCCACTTGGTGTCCTCTTGGTACCAAGAAAAAGACTATAAACAGGACTCATTTCCCAAGGTCCAAGAAGAAGAATTTTGGAAACTTGGGGGAGATTTTGCCCAATTGTGCACTGACATTCATTTCTGTTTGAGTTTCCTGCTTCACCTTCACCTAGCTACTCACTCTCCAATCATTCCACCATTGTTGGACTATTAACATATTTTTGCCTCTTTAATCATCTTCTTAATCTCGAACCCCTCTACAATATTTTATCTCTTTATGTTATTTTAATATTTATGTTTTTAATTGGGTCAATTTTGACTCTTTATTTTAAATTTTATATCAATTTAATCCAATTAATAATATTATTTATGTTTTTTTAAAGAAAATTATCACTAAATTTGTTGAGATTAATTCACTAAATTGAATAAGTTTATAATTTTGTCCTTAAAAATATGACATATAACATTTATATGCATATTTTCTATATTAAAAAAAAATGTTAAGAGTTGGAATTAATTAGATTAAATTAAGACAAAGTGATAAATTCATAATCAAAATTGAGTTAATTGAAATTACAAAGACTAAAATGACACAAGAACCAAAATACAGGGACTACCATCATAATTTGCTTCACTTTTATTACATTGAATTTGAATTGAGTAATTATTTAGTCTGACTTGGTACAAAAATTGTGTTACAGGATTTATTTATAGCAGAGATAGACACAACTTTAAATACATTAGAGTGGGCAATGACAGAGCTTTTACGCAACCCAGAGACTCTAATGTCGTGTTTGGTTGGGGGATTTGGAGAGGGAATTGGAAAGGAAATTGGAAAAGGTGTGTGAAACTAGGAGAAATGTAAGTATATTTTATTCACATTTCACCTAACTTTTTCATTTTTCTTTCCAAATCCCTCCTCAAATCCCCCAACCAAACACAACGTAAAGAAAGCTTGAACAAATAGTTGGCAAAGGCAAACCAATATCAGAATCGGATATTGCACGCCTACCTTACTTGATGGCAATTGTTAAGGAAACCTTCAGGATGCACCCAGTAGTTTCCTTCTTAATTCCTCGTAAAGTTGACTCAGACGAGCAAGTCTGTGGCTACACAATCCCAAAAGGGTCACAAGTGCTAGTAAATGTCTGGGCTATTGGCCATGACCAAAGCATTTGGCCGAACCCCACCTCGTTCATGCCGGAGAGGTTCTTGGACTCGGACATTGATGTCCGAGGTTGTAATTTTGAGTTAATTCCATATGGTGCAGGTCAAAGAATATGTCCCGGGCTACCATTGGCGACAAGGATGATTTCAGTGATGTTGGGTTCACTCTTAAATTCACTTGATTGGAAGCTTGATGGTGGGATTAAACCGGAGGACTTGGATATGGAGGAGAAATTTGGCATGATCTTACAGAAGGCTCAACCTCTTTTTGCTGTTCCAGTCCAGGGTTGACAATGTGCATTTTTTCCCCCCCTTCTTTTTTGGTTCTTCAATTCGTGTGCGACAATAAGAATGGTTCTAGTGGTGTTGGGTTTGCTCATAAACTTATTTGATTGGAAGAGTGAAAGTGGGATTGAACTAGAGAACTTGCACATGGAGGAGAAGTTTAGGATTGCACCTTACTGAAGAAGGAACCAACCTCTTCTTGTTATCCCAGCCCAGGGTTGACATTATGTTTTTTTCTCTGTTTCGGTACGTCAATTGGTGTGTGTGGCAATGGTCTTGGTGATGTTGGGTTTGTGTGGCAGTATGGTTTCCTTTTGTGCTTGAGTAAATGCCGGAAAAACTTTGTCGCAATTAGTATGGTAAGGTGCTTATGTATATCATTGTAAACTACATTTAATGTGCCTCCCACTCAACTTTTATTTCTACTTTATCTGTTTTATTAAGTTGGATTTATTCCTTTCTGTTCATTTCAACAAAAAAGAATATTTTTCATAAGAAATATTTTTTTGATTTACAAATTTGAGATTAATATATTAATGATTGCATTAGTGTTGATGTTAGTGATGATAATGGTTACGGTGCATGGAGTGGTGAGGTGGTTGAGACTTTCAATTCCTTTCACATTTTTTGAACTAGTCAATTAAAAATAATTGATGGTGTTTGGCAAATTGGTTTGTGGCTAAAATAGTTATAAAAGACAAAATAGGCTATTTTAGCCACAACAAACAAAACATCACATCTAACCCATAATCATTACACTCTTCTCTATATAAAAAAAAAGAAGCTAAAAAAGCTAAAAAGTTCTTCACAAACCAAGCTTTTTAACCCAAGCTAAAATAGTCAAAAAAAGTCAAAAAGCCAAAAAGCTAGCCCACTCTCCAAACGGAGGCTTAAATGCATCTTTAACAATTTGGCAAACTAGCAAGAACAAATGAGATGATCTTACTCACTGCGACGTTTTTGCACGCATCTTACTTTAATGATATTTGCTATAATATACTTTGTATTTCACTTTTCATTAATATAATCTTTTTTTTACTGATAAAAAAAATTGAAAATAATTTTACAATTCAGTGATGCACACAGCCTAATCATCATATAAACCAGCTACTGTTACTTCTTTCCTCAATTTTGGTGAACTTCAACAATTTTTTTTTTTAAAAGTAATTTTTTGATTTTCAATTTTTTCATACTTTTAAAAAGCTGTTAGGTAATTGTTACAAAAATTATTTTTTGGTTAAGAAAAAAAGTTCTTTATGAATTTTTCCAAAGTTTTTCTTTTTGATAAAAAGAAAATTACCATATTACAATCATTAATACAGTATAAGTAAAGGGAAACAGTGAAGTTTTTAAAAATATAATGAAGTCATTTTTTAGCTGCTAACATTCTCAAATTTATTATTTTTTAATGAAAAAGTTGTTTTAAAATTATAACTAAACAAACCAATAGACTTTTTAACTTTTGGCTATTTTAATTAAAAAAATTGTTTATTTAGAGATTACCAAATAGAGCTTAATCTATTAAAACACTCAAGTAAAATCAATGATATTTCTGAGAAATCTCCTGCAAACAGAGGCAAAGCTCCTTGGGTTTTGATAGGATGATCATGTGGTCAGCATTTACAATGGACTTGACTTCATCAGGTGGGCTGTTCTGAATAATCCATCTCTGGAATTCGGGTTTCATAAGTTGGTCTTCTTCGCACACTATGTAAACCCGACTCACCGACCCGTATCTCGCTTCTGTTAGAAGCGATTCCTTGGCCACGTCATCGAAGAACATCCTGTTGGGCCTCACTAACATCTTCGCTAATTCCAGGTCCTACATGAATCCCAACCCAATTAGGCTCAAATCTCATTATTATAAGAAAATTTTGCATTTGAGATGACCATTGTCTTCTTATCAAATTAAAAAATAATAATAATAATATTTTTAAGAAATTTATTTATATTTATTGTTATTCAATTAAAAAATTTGAATAACCTAATTAGGAAAATAGTATAAATGCATTTGTTTTAACCAAAGGTTAGGTCTTTAATTTAATTTACCTTTTCCATTTTGCCATATAATCGAACTAGTCGTGCAAGTAGAATCACTTTGTGCAGTTTATGCTCTTAACGTTTGAAAATGACAATATAACCCTTTGTGGTTTGTAAACTGAAGTGTACCGTTAAGACCGTTAACAATTTAATAAAAAAGACTAAAATACCCCTATATTTTCATCATTTTTTTAGAAGGCAAAATACACTTTGACCCATGTGCTTTATTTCATGTGCGCTTTACCCCCTTAAAATTTGAAATTGAGTATATAATCCTTCTGTTTACCACGGGTTTCACACTTAATGTTAAGTTGAACGGAACGTTTAACAGTATTTAACTGTGCAATTTAGTCTATCAATCAAATAGAGGTTATGTGGTTATTTCCAAATATTAAGGGGGTAAACTGCACATGACCCAAACCAAAGAAAAATAAAGTAAGATTTACCCCCAAAAATTTATGTTATTAATTATTAGTATTTATAACATATTTTTTTTATTTTTTAAATAATTTTTGACTGACACAACTCAATGTAATTCCCCTTAGAACTATATACACAAATAACTAACCTATATCTATACCTATACGAAACAAAGAAGGGTTGAGATTTGGCAATTCCAGTCACCGCCGATGATGATAAATAAATAAAAATGTTTTGAAACTTTAATTTGGAAGTTCTAATAGCTCTCATATTTATGTGGGGCCCATCTAATATGATATTTAGGCCTTATGTTGTTTTTTTTTTTTTTTCATCTCACTAGAGCTCAATTAGAGCTCTAATTTTAGAAGGATATACCATTGTTGATAAATAAATGAATCAGGAGAGATGCTATACACCACTACAGAGTGCGTACTACATGTACTTATTTTATTATAAAATTTTGTAATATTAATTGAAAAAATATATATAATTTCATCATAAATTGACGTAATAAAAATGTTTAAAGTTTTGTATCTTGGTTATGACATTTTTTAACACTAATTTGTGACTAGATTATGCATTTTGTAATTAATATGATAAAATTATACATTTTTATAATAGATTGCATATGACGTAAACCCCTTAAATTAGCTACCTATTTTCTTTATTTATGAGGTTGTTTAAAATAATCTAAATAAAAATATTTTTTTATTTTTTAAAAAAAGATATAAAAAAATAAAAAGATAATATAACTAAAAAAAAAATACACTTTTATAGTGCACCAAAACACTCTCATACTGTTTACAAAGTCTTTAATAGCAAAATAGAGAGCTACCCATTGAATCACCAACCACCCACCCACCCACCTTTGCAATCAATTATTTGATGATGTTAGGGGTGTTAATTATCCAGACTTTGTAAACTTTTATCTGCCATCTTTTCTACCCAAAAAAACAAAAAAACAAAAAACTTACCTTATTTATACTATCGTGAGCAGAGCAATACTCAATGGCCAAGAAAAAATAGCAAAATAGAGAGCTACCCATACACCTAAAATTTGTCATCCAGATTTCCATTTTTGGTATATTTTTCATGACATATACAATCTGTTTCTTTCTTTCTTTCTTTTTTTGAGATTTAATATACAATCTGTTTCAATTTCAATTTTTACCGATATAAATGAAACCAACATAAATATTATATAAATATACTTTTTATCACTGTCATTCCCTTTAATTTTTGAAATACCACTTACACAGATAACACAGGGGAGCTTCTATATACACACACACAACACACTTTCTACACATCCCCCTCTCTACACTTCCCACACACCTCCTTCATTAAGTGTGTGTGGAGAGGGGGTTTAGTGTGTGTATATAGAAGCTCCCATAACACAGGTTATTGAAACAATGAATTTACGACAATACCCTTGCCATTGTTCTTACTATGTGGCCCTTGTGTGACCTTCACCCCATCCTTAACATGAGCAACAAGGATGACTCCACAACGTATTGGGATTTTTTTGTCAATATGAAATGGAAAAATATTTTTATAAAATATTAAATGGTTAATTATTTCTGGTCTTGGTGCTACAAATTTAATATGGTAGATATATGATACTCATACGAAACAAAGAAGGTTGAGATTTGGCAATTCCAGTCACCGGCGATGATAATAAATAAATGAATCAGGAGAGATCCTATACCTCTCTAGAGTGCGTACTATATGTACTTATCATAAAAATATATAATTTTATCATAAATTGACGTAATAAAAATGTTTAAAATTTTGTATCTTAGTTATGACATTTTTTTATACTAATTTGTGATTAGATTATGCATTTTGTAATTAATATTATAAAATTTTATGATAAAATTATACATTTTTATAATAAATTGCATATGATGTAAACTCCTTAAATTAGCTACCTACTTCCTTTTATTATAGTGTTGTTTGAAATGATCTAAATAAAAATATTTTAAATATTTTTTAAAAATATATAAAAAATAATAATATAACTCGAAAAAAAAAAACACTTTTTATAGTGCACCCAATACACTGACCCACCCACTGTTTGCAATCAATTATTTGATGATGTTAGGGGTGTTAATTACCCAGACTTTGTAAACTTTATTTCTAGTTCTATTTTATCTGCCACCTTTTCTACCCAAAAAAACAAAAAAGCTACCTATTGACCTTATTTATACTATCGTGAGCAGAGCAGCACATAATGGCCAAGAAAAAATAGCAAAATGGAGAGCTACCCATGCCCCTAGAATTTGTCATCCAGATTTCCATTTTTGGTATATTTTTCATGACATATACAATATGTTTCTTTCTTTCTTTCTTTTTCTTAGATTTAATAAACATTCTGTTTCAATTTCAATTTTTACCGATATAAATGAAACCAACATAAAAGTATACTTTTTATCACTGTCATTCCCTTTAATTTTTTTGAAATACCACTTACACGGGAAATTCTATTTCCAACACCCTAATAAACTCAGTCAACACACTTAATGAAAAATTAGATTAATGACAAT